GAGCCACATGTGGCTCCAGAGACATGGGGTGCTGACAACTAGGAATATACAATTCCAGCAACCATTCTTCATATGTTTTAGTCTCCAGTCCCCAAATCATCTTTGTTGTTCTTCTCTGCACTCTTTCTAGAGTCTCAACATCTTAGATCTAAAATCTCAAGAATATCTGCTAGTTAGACAACTCTATTAGAACAATTCAAATATTCAAATATGTAGGGTCCAAAGTGGGGTAAGAAACCAAAGATTTCTGCTGTTAAACTGTCTGACTGTTTCTCATTCCAGCTTCATCCATTTCTGAAGAAGAATGCATTTTGCAATTTTTCTGAGATGAAAATGTATTTGGACCAAAATGGAGATCTGATAGCAGATCTGAATATTATGAGCTTGGTGGTTTTCCCCGATGAGAGTAACTATGAAGAGCAAATGGGAAGTTTTGAAAGGCAGAGGCTTATCATCAGCCAAGAGAGTCTTTCTTTGCTAAAGTGGTACGACAAGGTGGGTGAAATATTAGTCTTTTTTTCTGTTTTCAAAAGCCTTATGACCCAGTCGCAAGGTAGGTGAACTACACTGATAATTGAATGTGTAGAGTGAAACTTATAATTTTGAGTGACAGAGCCAGCAGTGTGAAGCAGCTGCCAAAAAAGCCAACACACTTCTAGGCTGCATAAACAGAGGGATAGAATCAAGATCACGTGAAGTGTTAATACCACTTTATAATGCATTGGTAAGGCCACACTTGGAGTAATGCATCCAGTTTTGGGCACCATGATGTAAAAAAGATGTGGAGACTCTAGAAAGAGTGCAGAGAAATGAAGAACGGTTGCAGGAACTGGGTATGTCTAGTTTAATGAAAAGTAAGACCGGGTGAGACATGATAGGAGTCTTCCAATATATCAGAGGCTGCCACAAAGAAGAGGGAGTCAAACTAATCTCCAGAAATCATATCTCCTATAACCATTTGGAACTAATTAGAAATTTCATATCTATCTAAAAGAAGCCCATAGTCTACTTAATGAATGTTTTTGTTAACCTCTATTTCCCAGGGAATAGTGAGCCCTAATGTATTTCTTTGGGCATTCACTATTTTTCCTCTTAGCCTCTACCTCAATCCATATGTGTAGAAAATTGTCATCCTGGATTTGTCAAGCGGGCTCAAGAAGGAGAACCAGTTTGCTGTTATGACTGCGTTCCTTGTCCAGAGGGGACCATCTCCACTCAGGAAGGTTGGTGACTCTGGAGGACAGGATACCAGAGGCATACAGAGATTTTGATCAAAGTGCACATTAAAGACACACAGATGCTTGAATATTTTGCTGTTGCCTTTTACATTCAACAGAATGTAAATTCTAAAATAGGAGGAATAAGAAAAAGGTCTGGCTAGTGTCCTTGTAGCAAACAGCCTGGTCAACTTCAGCACGTTATCTCAGCATGACTCCGCATGAGCAGCTGATTGGTGGTTGGTTTGGCCTCCTGGAATACTGCAAATCAGCTGTTCCAAGTTGCGGGGATGGCCACAACCCATCGTCTCCCGCACACATCATGTTTTTGGCCTCTGCACACTCTGTTTTACACCCATTCCAGGCTGCCAGGATCGCCAAAGCACATTGCTGCTGATTTCCGCCTTCATGCATCACACTTTTGGCCTCTGTGCATCGGGTTTTTGGTCTTGGCATGACAATCCTCACCACCTGGAATCGACTGAAAAAGTGATGAGCAGAGGCCAAAAATGCAACACACAGAGGCGGCGAATGACTGTGATGTGCTGTGGGGATTGCCTGGAATGGGTCTAAGATGGAGTGTGTGGAGGCTAAAAACTCAATACTTGGAGGCTTAAAATAGCTGAACAGTGAGGGTCAGTGGGTGGGTAGGGCTTTGGAAACATTTGATGTATAAGATCATCACAACTATCACCCTCTTTTAGGGGGCAAATGCATTTTATACTCAGAAAAGTCCAGGAGTTATGCCAGGAATTACAGCAGAAAGATGACACCAGTTGCTCTTGCCAATGACCTCTGCAGAGCTCAGGATGTGGATGGTAAAACCATATTGTCCTTTCTGGATCTGTCGTAAGGTTCTTGTACCAACAACAAAGGTCTCTTTCTGGAACAACACTGAGGATTGGGAATGAGAGGCAGACTTTAGTGATGTTTCTCTTCTTCACAGATATTTTCAAGTGTTGTTGTTGTAGGACAGAGTTCAGGCCCTTGGTCTCTTCTTTCTTTTTTATAATGTGCATTAAACTGATAGGTGAGTCATTTGGAAGGAGAGATTGATGCATAAAAGGAACATTACATTCTGTTTCCACAGATACTGAAAAGTGCAGAAAGTGTCCAGATGATCAATATCCAACTGAGAACCGAGTCCAATGTATCCCCAAAAGAATAACCTTCCTGTCCTATAAAGAGAATCTGGGAATCATCTTGATCTCCTTTGCCCTACTTTGTTTCCTAACTACAGGATTTGTTTTAATCATATTCATTAAATATCTAGAAACTCCCATTGTCAAAGCCAACAACCGGGACCTCTCTTATATCCTCCTGGCCTCCCTCCTCCTTTGCTTCTTGTGTTCTTTTCTCTTCATTGGTCAACCTAGAAAAGCCACCTGTCTTTTGAGACAAACAGTGTTCAGCATTGTCTTCTCAGTAGCTGTGTCTTCTCTGCTGGCCAAAACAATCACAGTCGTGCTGGCATTCCTTGCCACAAAACCAGGGAACAAAGTGAGAAGATGGTTGGGCAAGAGCTTGGCCAACTCCATCATCCTTTCTGGTGCTGCTGGTCAAATTTTCATCTGTGCCGTGTGGCTGGGAGTTTCTCCTCCATTTCCTGACTCTGACCTGCATTCTCATCCTGGAGAGATCATCCTTCAATGCAACGAAGGCTCTGTCACCTTGTTTTATGTTGTCCTTGGCTATATGTGTTTCCTAGCTGTCATTTGCTTCACAGTGGCTTTCCTGGCCAGGAATCTCCCTGGGGCCTTCAATGAAGCCAAGTTGATTACCTTCAGCATGCTGGTCTTCTGCAGTGTCTGGGTCTCCTTCCTGCCCACCTACCTGAGCACCAAAGGAAAGTCCATGGTGGCTGTGCAGGTCTTCTCCATCTTGGCCTCCAGTGCTGGTCTGCTGGTCTTCATCTTCTTCCCCAAGTGCTACATTATCATCTTGAGACCAGATCTAAACACAAGGGAACATCTAACCATAAAAGTAGGGCAGTGATAGTGAAATAATTTCTTAAGCTCAGGTGTAATAGATTCATAGACAATAGAATTAAATGTGAGATTAGTGAAATTAAAATGCAAAGTTATACTTTCTATGAGTAAAATGATAATAATTAATTTTTCCCCAGTCAGGTAATGACAGTATAAGCAATGAGACAGTCAGCGTATATTGACACAAGACAGCTGCCAAGGAGACAAGGCTCCCAAAAGAGAAGGGGAAGGATTCTGTTGCCAAAAATTGAATATATTGTATATGGAACTTCTTAGCATAGTATCCTTCTCTCTCTGACTTATTCTCAAAAGTAGGTGAGGACAGTAGAGCTGGTTGTCAAGAACATACTGATGACTCTCAGTTGCAACACTCTGCATGACCCACTACAGTTATTTCTGCAGATGTTGGGTGACATTATAGACCTTATGGGACATCAGAGTTTCATTTCTTTGAAGGTGATTTATTACTCTCACAACATCCTTTCTGGACATGAGTCAACAGGAATGACGTGGTTGTAAAACTTCACCTAGAAGGGTTGCAACAACCTTTGTGATGGCTCAATTCAAGAAAAAGAAAAAAGAAAACGTGAGACTTGATTGGTCTCTTAGCCAAAGAAACCACTTGATCCTCTTGTCCCAATTGGGAAGCTTACAGCATTGTTCTATGCAGATGGAAAAATAATCATAGATAGAAAATAGAAGGGCTTTCCTGAGGCTTTACACCATGTAAATATAATTATAACTCTCACACTACAAATAAAAAGACTCAACTCCTTTGTCAGCTCAACATGTACATACGCCCCTCAAGTGTCACACACTGTTAGCTGCCACCTTATGCTCGCTTGTGCTTTCCTGCTATGTGGTGACAGGCTGCCGTGCAGAAGGGGACTGAAGTGGGGTAAGACTTGGGGAAATGAAAGTAAGTGATTTACCTCCCTGAGACACTGCCTCAAGGTCATCCAGCTGGAAGAAGAATGGAACAGGATACCAAACTGTTCTTGGACTGACCATCATGAAAGCATCTTGCCTGAACCTGATTGGCTATTAGTTAAGGGAGGGAAAAGTAGATTTGGCATGTTGGCCCATGGTTCTCAGTTCTGATTTTGCAAAGAAAACAAACAAAAAGACTAAGCAGGTAGTTTGTGGTAAATGTAATCTTTATAAGCCTGTTCCGATACTTCCAGCAAACACATAATGCAAAACATGAGTGAATTAAAGTCAAGCCTGTAATTCTGTACTTCCCTCCACCATTTAAACCAACCTATGCCCCACCCACCTGTGGCCCACCGTCTCCTACATGTGTACAATATACCCAATATACTCCAATGATGTTACAGACTATGCTGGTTTACATTGCTACGCATGCGCTGGTTCCATTTTGTATGAAACTCACTACAGGATCTTGGTGCGGCGGGGAAACAAGTGTGATATAGCAGTCATCCAAGTCATGAATCTCCCCACCAGCAATATGGCAGCCCTGAGCTGCTGAGAGCGCCAGAACTGACATACAGTCCTTACCATAGAGACAATGTATTGAATAGAAAGATCAAAGTGAGAGTGCCTCTGGGGATTACCTGGTGTGGCTCTGGGGATTTCTTGGATTCATTGGGTTGTTTCTATAAAATCTAACAAGCAACCTATCCACATGTACATCCTCCCCAGCCACCCATGATGCCTCTGCCAATGGATATACCTTCCGCAATACAAGACACATGCCACAGGTGGGTATCTAATATGGCCTCCACTCATAGTACTCTTCTTGCCCCTGTCAGGGTTCCAAATGGCATCCAAATTAAATTAGTGTCCAAGGCAAAGTATTGCTCAAAGTTCCAATTTATTAAGAGCCATGTTGGCACATCTGGAAAAACCTGAATCTGAAAGCTTCCCAGTTTTGCCCACCCAGTTGAAAGTTCACGAACTTGCCCCCACACCTACAAGTCCATCACATGGTCCAATCCAACAATTTTCTAAGTACTTAGCGCAGCAAATGGA